GGACTCTGAGAAACAAACTGAGGGTTCTAGAGGGGAGGGAGGTGGGGGGATGGGTTAGCCCGGTGATGGGTATTAAAGAGGGCACGTATTGAATGGAGTGCTGGGCGTTATATGCAAACAATTAATCGTGGAACACTACATCAATAAATAAATAAATAAATGTGTTAAAAAAAAAGGAAGAAGAAGGGTTAACATTTACTGAGTATGTGCATCTTGTCAAACACTGTGCTGAGGGCTTCATCATATGCATTATCTCCCTGCATCTTCCCAACTGTCCTCTGAGGGAGACTCTAGCACTGTGACCGTCTCCATGTGATGGACAAAGCAACAGAGTCACACAGAGTGGGTAACCTGTCCTCCAGCCATCCCTGGAAGAGGCAGGTATCACCTGACAGTATGTGCACAGGAAGGGCCGCATCCTTCACCACTTCACCATCCTTCAACTGTCCCCCCTCACGGGCCAGGCCCCCGTTCCCGCCCGGGACGGCTTTTTTTTTTTTTCCCCCCAGCAGTTTTGCCCTGAATAGGCTTTAGGATAAGTTCCTTCCTCGTGATAAGCAGGGCCCACGACCTCTGACAGCTGTTCCCCGCTCCTCCTCATCCTCTGAAACAATCAGTAAGCATTAGAGAGTGCTTTTCCCTTTACAAAGGTGATAATTAGATAACAAGCTGAGATTAAAGTAATTACAGTCAGACAGCTGGTGAGGCAGCACAGTCATGTTGAAATATTGTTGGTACTTCAGCATCTGGTTCTAATAACAGCACAGGCTAAAGGATTTTACATTAATTACAGAACATAATTTAATATAAACATATTTAATTACAATTGATGAGCGGTAAACTGTTCAAGAATGACTTAACCCCTTCCGCGTGTCAAAGTGATGGGAACTTTGGGCAGGCTGCAGCCTCTTCCGCTGTCTCTCTCAGCCTCCCCCGCCATGCCTTCCACAACTCCCTGGTCCCCTCTCCTACAGAAAAATCCCCCTCAAAGACAGAATGTTCTAGATGGGGATGTTGCTCATTGACTATCCCATCCTTAGAGAGCCAGGTGAAAGGAGGTGAGTGTGCCAGCCAGCCTGGGATGCGTTGCTTTGGCTGGACCAGCTGCCCTTCCTCATATTACCTCACACTGATGAGACAAGGTTAGCTCCCCTTAGCTGGTCTTCCCCGTGTTCTCACACCTTTATGTGGTGCTGGCTTGGCTTCTGACAGTCAGTGAACCACCTCTTAGACCATCCTCAGATCTCCAAGAAAAAGTATGTCATGACTAGGAAGTCCCTGTACATGGTAGCAGGGGTATTTTCACAGTTTTGGAGTAAATGTGTAATATCTGGAGACCCCTACGTGAGAAAGGACACTCTGCTCTGTCAGGAATTCTTCCTTACATGCTGCTAACCCCTCCCCACCCCCTCCAAACTAGCAGAAACAGGTCTTGTGTGAAACAGTTTCAAACAAATTGGGACCACACAGACACAATCCTCAGTGGATAAAGGACTCAATCATCATTACCTACACATCAACTTCCGAGGTTCATAGATGAGAGATATTCAAAAGCCACAAACATGCCATGTTATGGACTGCATGACTATATTCCCCTCAAAATTCATATTTTGAAATCATAACCCCCAATAGGGCAGTATTAGGAGATGGAGCCTTTGGGAGGTAATTAGGTTTAGATGAGGTCATGAGGGTGGAGCCCTCATGATGAGATTATTCTTAAAAACCAAAAAGTGGAAACAACCTAAACGTCCATCAACCAATGAATGAATAAACAAAATGTGGCATAGCCATACAATTGAGTACTATCCAGCCATAGAAAGGAATGAAGTATAATAGAGGCTACAACATGGATCAACCTTGAAAACATCTTGCTAAGTGAAAGAAGACAGACACGAAAGCCCACATATTGTATGATTCCATTTTTATGACATGTCTAGAATCGGCAAATCTATAGAGATAGAAGGTAGATTCATGGTTACCAAGGGAAGGGAGGAGAGGGGAAATGAAAGTGACTGCTTGTACACTTCAAATTCGTTAAAATAGTAGATCTTATGTTATATAAATTTTAACTCAATTAAAAAAAAAACTACCAATCTGGGAACTGGAGCTTAATCCCCCTGGAGAAGCTGCGAGCCTCTGTAAAGTGGGTGGCTCACAGTTATCTCATCCAAGAGGTGAGGAAGCTGGGGTATTTATACACCAGCTCCCACCAGTCACTGACTGAATAAGGTTGCTTCAATGCAATCCCTATCAAAATCCCTATCAAAATTCACAGAGATAGAGAACAATCCTAACATTTGTATGGAACCACAAAAGACCCTAAATAGACAAAGAAATCTTGAGAAAGAAAAACAAAGCTGTAGATATCATGCTCCCTGATTTCAAACTATATTACAAAGCTATCATAATCAAAACAGTATGGTACTGGCATAAAAAACAGACACGTAGATCAATGGAATAGAATAGACAGATCAGAAATAAACCCATGCATATTTGGTCAATTAATTTACAACAAAGGAGGCCACAATATACAATGGGGAAAGGATAGTCTCTTTAATAAACGGTTTTGAGAAAACTGGACAGCCACAAGCAAAAGAATGAAACTAGACTACCATCTTACACCATATGCAAAAATTAACTCAAAATGGATTAAATCTGAATAGAAGACCTGAAACCATAAAACTCCTAGAAGAAAATGTAGGTGGTAAACTCCATGACATTGCTCTTGGTGATATTTTGGATCTGACTCCAAAAACAAGGCAACAAAAGCAAAAATAAACGAGTGGGATTACACCGAACTAAAAGGATTCTGCACAGCACAAGAAACTATCAACAAAATGAATAGACAACATACTGAAAGGGACAAAATATTTGCAAGTCATATATCTGATAAGGGGTTAACATCCAAAATATATAAAAAAAACTTATACAAATCAATAGCAAAAAAAGCAAACACTCCAATTAAAAAATGGGCAGAGGATCTGAATAGCTACTTTTCCAAACAAGACATACAGACGGCCAACAGACCATGAAAAGATGCTCAGTATCACTCATCATCAGGGAAAAATGCAAATCACAACCACAATGAGATATCACCTCATATCTATTGGAACGGCTATTTCAAAAAGACAAAGAATAACAACTTTTGGCAAGGAGGTGGAAAAAAGGGAACCCTTGCGCACTGTTGGTAGGGATGTAAAATTGGTGTAGCCACCATGGAAAACAGTATGGAAGTTCCTCAAAAAATTAAAACTGGAAATACCATATGATTCCACCTCTGGGTATTTATCCGAATTATATGAAAACACTAATTTGAAAAGATATATGCACCCCTATGTTCACTGCAGTATTATTTACAATAACCAGGATATGGAAAAAACATAATATGCATTGATGGATGAATGGATAAAGAAGATGAAGTATATATATAGATATGTATCTATATCTATATATATAAACAAGGTTTAATAGAAATCCTTGAAAAAGTAAGCCAAGAAACAGAAAAGAAAACCACAGTTAAATTCAACAGAAGAAAAGTCATGGACTCTGATGAAGAGGACGATTATTGAAATTTAAGATGTTTAGAGACTGGAACTTAATGGAACAGTTCTAGGACAGATAAGACTGGGTAGAAGTGAAGATCTGATTGTTTACTTTGTTTATTGTCTATATATGCCTTTTAAAAAAATAAACTTGTTATGCAAAAAAAAATCCACAAATATATATATCTATATAGATATAGATATAGATTTATATTGTATATATACACAATGGAATATTACTCAGCCATAAAAAATAATGAAACCTTGCATTTGTGACAACATGGATGGACCTTGAGGGTATTATGATGAATGAAATTAAGTCAGACAGAGAAAGACAAATGCTATATGAACTCACTTATATGTGGAATCTAAAAACAAAATGAAACTCATAGATACAGAGAAAAGAGTGGTGGTGCCACAGGGGAGAGGGGCTGGAGGGTGAGCAAAATGGGTGAAGGGGGTCAAGAGGTACAAGCCTCCAGTTATAAAAGAAATAAGTCATGGGGATGTAATGTACAGCACGGTGACTCTAGTCAATAGTGTTGTCGTGCACATTTGAAAGTTGCTAGAAGATTAAATCTTAAAAGTTTTCATCACAAGGAAATAAAAACAAGGTTTTGTAACTTTGCATGGTGATGGATAGTAACAGACTTAGTGTGGTGATCATGATGTATACAAATATCGAGTCATTACATTGTTCACCTCAAACAAGTATGATATTATATGTCAGTTATACCTCAATTTAGAAAGTCTGTATAAAATGCTTCACAGTGCTAGACACAGAGAAAGCTCTCAATAGATGTAGTTATATTTATAGGAGACTCACTATGGTTAAATAAGTTGATCAAAATTGCACAGCTAATGCAAAGTCGCGGTAGGATTTACTCAGATCTGTCTATACGACACAATCTTTTTTTCTTTTTACAATACAATCTTTCATACTGAGAATTATACTAACCAAATATATACTAACCACCTTGCAAACACACATCAAAAGGCAATCATGTCATCATTGCATTCAGAGGCTATAACAACATCTTTATATCCTTACTCTCCTTCCCCCTTATGTGCCCTTTTTGGGGGAAGCAGCTGCTTTTCTCACAAAAAGGCCCGAGGGCTGATGTTATTGTCTGCTCAAGTTTAAATAGATGCGCGGGGTTTTTTATGGAGATGCTCATTTGAGATGCAAAGCCTGCACATTTGCCGCCAATTTAGTGCAAAGGACCAAGATATACGAACACCTGAGACTGCAGGAACAGCAGGGTGACACTTCCTCACTCACATGTCGGTCCTCCTGTTCCCCTGTTGAATCACCTGACTTTCAGTGGGCTCAACAAAAAGGTGCCCTAGCAGAAGAAAATGGAAGGAATCTCTTCCCATCATGCCCTGCATGAACTCCCAGCAAAGGGCGTGCCGGAGGAATGACAGAAGGACATGGGGCTCAGAAGCCAAACCTACCTGATCAGGTAGTGGTTGATAATAGTGTCGAAGTAGCTGTAGTACACGGCATTGTTCACGTGGCCATACTGGTCATTGTCCTGCCATCTCGTCTGGATGGGTAAGAAGTACCCATAGGCCTCATGGTGCCGATGACAATCCTCAACTCTCTGGCTCTTTGGTGATGTGCCCAAGGAACGGACATTCCTAGGAAGCAACCTCGAAGCCCAACAGGTCATAGCTGGTGATTGCTGTCTTGGAGCAGACCTTCAAGAAGAAAGCAACAAAGGATAAGGATGGTGTGCCGAAATCTTGATATCAGGTTTACAAAGCAATTTCATTCAATTTTGCCCATCGGTTTCAAAAGGAAATTCGATTTTTCTCCTAGGAGGTAAATCTTCCTTTATAATCCAAGTCCTTGTCACAAATCTGTTTACTTTTTTAAAAGACTCCTTACTAAAAAGGCTTTCACAAACACTGACAGAAACCAGTGAAGCCTCTGTTTGAATTTTTTTTTTTTTTATAAAGATTTTATTTATTTATTTGAAAGAGAGAGAGAATGAGAGACAGGGAGCACGAGAGGGAAGAGGGTCAGAGGGAGAAGCAGACCCCCCGCTGAGCAGGGAGCCCGATGCAGGACTCGATCCCGGGACTCCAGGATCATGACCTGAGCCGAAGGCAGTCGCTTAACCAACTGAGCCACCCAGGCGCCCCTGTTTGAATTTGACTAGTGGGAATTTAAATTAAAAAATTTTGATTTATATTTGTATGGAGGTCTTCCATTCCACAAAGTATTTTCAAGGCGGGTACATTCTTTCTTCCCTCCCTCCCTCCCTCCCTCCCTCCCTCCCTCCTTCCCTCCCTCCCTTCCCTCCTTTCAGATTTTTTATTTACTTGTTTGTTTGTTTGTTTGTTTATTTATTTATTTGAGAGGGTGAGTAGGGGCAGAGGGAGAGCAAGTCTTAAGCAGACTCCACACTGAGCGTGGAGCCCAAGGAGGGGCTCAATCTCATGACCCTGAGATCTCAACTTGAGCCAAAACCGAGAGTCCGACACTTAACTGACTGCACCACCCAGGCACCCCGAGGTGGGTACATTTCTGCTGAAATCTGTAACACCACTGAGGACATAAAGAGAGAGCTCAGGCAACCAGTATAAAATAAAATGTTTGCCAGAAAATATCATCAACTGGGCCTACTATCAGGGCTTTTTTAAGGGTATGAATTTTTTTCTTGGAACAAAAGTAACTTTCCAAAAATGGGAAAAAATTTAAATATGCATAACAAAGGGGGGATCCCAACAACCCAATGACACCAGTTATATTCATTATTCCAGTCTTATATTCATGTATCTGTATATGCATTCTTAAATTGGACCATATTGCACATGCCGTGTCACTATCTCTTATGCTTAACAATAGATCATTATCATGCATGCATATTCTTCTACATCATTTGTAATGTTGAATTCCATAATATTGCATTGTATTAAAGCACCACAATTTATCAAATCCTCTATTGTTGCATACTTAGGATTCTGACTCCAATTTTATTGACTGGGATTAGAATCTTTGTAAATAAATCTTCCCACACATCCGGATTATTTTCTTAGGGTAAACACCACCCAAGCAGAATTGCTAAAGGGCAATTGTTAAAGATTTTGAGATAAATCGGTGCCCTCCAGAAAGGTGGTACCAACTTCTACCCTCCCCAGTGGTGATGTGCAGGCCAATTTCCTTGTTGATTTTAAAATGCTTTGTCGATTTGACTGTGTTCTCTCATTTCCACACAAATTCAATGAAATGTGCTAAGTGGAGAGAATGACTCCTGCCACCGGCTGTGTTAGAATAACCAGTATCAGAATAACCCCTCTGTTTGAGAAGCGCTATCAAAGCTAGATAAATGTAAAAGAAGAGCTGCTTGAAGCTAGGAGCAAATAATCAAGGCAGCAGGACTTTACAGGCTGCAACCTTGGGGACAGGGGAACACATTCAAGGGAGCCCAGCACTTGCCAACACTTTCTCATCCGGGTATTTGCCAGCTCAACGAGTGGGGAATAAAGCCTGCAAGATGGCAGCAGCCTACAGCTCCTGGTGGTCTTGTCATGTTGGAAGAGGGGACAAAAAGTGATAGGCCAGCATCCTGGAGAAGGGTGAGCTGCAGAGATGTGAGCCTGGAGGTGCAGGGTCCCCTCAGGGCATCTGCTGCCTCCCACACAGCACATGCTCTGAGGAGACAGACAAACCCTTGGAAAGCAACTAATACAAGGCTAAAAACCTAAGGAGAAAATAGGAGTCTCATTGTGCTGAGGACATAGCTTTCAGGGCTGCTGAGGAGGAGGGCAAAGACCCCAGACTCTCAGATTCAACCCGAGAAGGGTTACCCCCTTACAGGGAGGACAAACTTTAAACTGATCAGCCTTGATCAAGCTTACCTACCCAAGTTAAATCACCTTGAGAGGGAAATAACACCACCTACAGCCTCTGCAATGTTTCATACACAAAGTCTGGCATTCAGTCAAAACCAGCCAGGCCTACCAGTAAAGAGGAACGAATGACCAAAATCCAAAAGTATTAAAAAAAAATAAAAATAAAAAATAAAGAGATTCAGAGACTCACACAAATTTTAAAATAACCATGATTACCAGACATCAGATAAAGGGCTAATATCCATCCCTAATACATAAAAAACTCTAAAACTAAGGGGGTTAAGAGTTTTAAAAACCCAACAGAAAAATAAATGAAAGTCACAAAGAGACAATCCACAAATGTTTTTAAATGACCTTTAAACATATGAAAAGATAGACTTAGGTCATAATATGAGAAATTATAACTATGCTGCATTACTGTTTCTCAGTGATGAAATCTGGTAAAAATACAAAGCTTGACAGCACATTCTCTTGACAGGACCTCTTACACGCTGCTGGTGGGAATGTCCCCCACCTCTATGGGAGGAGAATGTGACAATATCTAATGCAATCATGAGTGAGTTTACCTTTTGACTCATATCTAAGAATTTACCTTGAAGGTACACCTTCAAGAATACAAAAATACAGGGCGCCTGGGTGGCTCAGTTGGTTGGGCGACTGCCTTCAGCTCAGGTCATGATCCTGGAGTCCCTGGATCGAGTCCCGCATCGGGCTCCCTGCTTGGCAGGCAGTCTGCTTCTCCCTCTGACCCTCCCGACCCTCCCCCCTCTCATGTGCTCTCTCTCTCTCTCAAATAAATAAATAAAATCTTTAAAAAAAAGAATACAAAAATACATATGAAAAAGGAACATCACTATTGGTTATTGAAAAAATACTGGGATAAAACAAACAGAGGATTGGTTGAATCAACTATGGTACATTCACACGATGGTATATTATAGAGCTGTAAATAAAAACTAAAGAAGGTGTGGTAAGGAGTGATTTCCAGGATGTATCTGCAGTCAGTCAAAATAAGCAAAGGGCAAGAAAGCATATATGTTACTTTTGCATAAGAAAGAAGAGAAAATAAGCTCTTTTCTGGGAGATACAGGCTAGCTGGAGCAAGGCAGAGGGAGAACACCCAGATGGTATGCACAGCCTATGTTCCTTGAAAGCAGCTCTACAGGCCACTAGATGTCTGACAAGCCTGAAGCCTGCTCCTCAGGCCACAGCTCCAGGCCAGGCACAAAGGCCTATTTCACAGGACTGGGGGGTGTGCTTCTGTCTGCTATCTATGCAATGCCCTGGGGGTGGCATCCTGCCAAGAACTGCCTCTCTGACTGCCATAGTCTCCTGGGACGCAGGGATGCAAGCCCCTACCCCATCCCCGGCTACTAGAGCCAGGGGATCAAGGGATGTCCTCTGGGTAGCAGCTGCAAAAACCAGGGCACCAAACAGGCAAAAGCTCCCTTCCAGGAAATGTTGGTACTCTGGAGCACGGCAAAGGGAGAGCGTAAAGACGGCACCAGCCAGTCTCCATCCCCAGAGAGTTTTCTAGCAGGCTACTAGATGTGTTAAATTTGATGCCTGTGCTCAGGCTAATGCTTTAATAAGATAATTATTTATTTATATTTACAAAAGGAAAATAAGGAAGGTTGAACTTGAAACTAATGAGGGTGCATTAACAAGGTGGGTGGGGTGAAAAAGGGGAAGTAATACTCCTCTGAATATAGCTTTTTGTGTAATTTTGGGTTTGGGGACCATGTTAATGTTTTACATACTCACACATGATGATGATGATGATGATGAAATTAACAATGATGGAAGGAAAAGAAATAAAAAATGGAATATAAACAGAAACAAATGAGTCCAACTATATTTCAAATGAGTAACAATCACACTGAAGGGAAAAATAATTACTTTTGAATACAGAGTTTTGACTATATACCCTCAGTCTAAAGACAAAAATCTTTTAACAAATACTAAACACTGGTTAGTGCACATGTTTTTTTATAGTGGTAGGATTAGCAATTCTGGAACTGCTTTCTGTGAACCTAAGACTGGGAAAATGGGTAGATATGCCAAGGATAATGTGAGCCAGATTTCTCACTTGGAGAAAGGATTTACAAATAGGAAGGGGAAAAACTAAGATAAGACTTCTGGTGTTAGATTAAATTTTGGAGTATCAGTATGAATTCACAGATTAGAGACAGAAATAGAGGTTTCTTATCTCCACTGAGCCTTGACACAATGACACTCTAGTAGCAAAATGATCATATTGAAGTATCCAGATCTTAGGTTCTAAACACCTTTCTCCACTAAAGGAAAGGAGGATGTCTTAAAGAAATGACTGATTCCAATGCTGGGGCAGATAAAATAAAAGATGATCCTGTTGTGGCACATCGTGTTGTGCCAGCAAGTAAAGAAAGTTCAAAGAAGATTGCAAAAGTCCGTAAGAGCCTGCCTAAGGGGGTTTGAAATGGCCATATCTGGACTATTTGAGCATTAGATTTAAAAATGAGATCAAGGGTGGGGGGTGCCTGGGTGGTCAGTCAGTTGGGCATCCAACTCTTGATTTCAGCTTAGGTCACAATCTCAGGGTTGTGAGATTGAGCCCCACATTGGGCTCCACACTGGGTGTGGAGCCTGCTTGGGATTCTCTCCCTCTCTCTCCTTCTGTCCCCACAACTCTCTAAAAGAAAAAATTAGATTGATGGATTATAATCTTCTCAATTAAATAAGAATTCCTAAGTCTGCAAAATTAATAAATGGGGTCAAAGGAAAAGTTATTCTTTCCCTAGGTATGCCAAGTAATAAATGTAGAAAGGATAATAGATTTAGAAAATCATCATTTTGCAAAT